TTCTAACTATTCGTTTTTTTTTTATTGATAAAAGTCAATTATTAATTGTTAGATTAGCATCTTATGGCAGTTCGCCTCTCCATCCTTACTTTGCCTCCTAATTCAATTCTCCCATGACCTTCCTATTAAGACTAAACCCCTAGGAGAGTCATGGTAGCCAACTATGTTAGGCTAGTTAGTTAAATTCAAACTATTCTCTTTAAATAATTAGATCTTGTTTGGGAATAGTCTATTTTAGCTTAAAAAAACCACAAGTTGTCATATCATTCAATTTATTTTTTGTATTTCTTTTCTTAAAAAAATTCATTAAAATAGCCAATTTTCAAACCATCTATAACGACTCAAGTTAAAACCTGACCTTTTTATATTCTTTGATCTGAAATCCAGTACTTCTTATTATTGTTTAGACTTCTTGATGTCTTGTTATTGATTGGGATTAGTTGTTTGTGTTTTGGTCAGGTTAGAAGTTAGTTTTTTTTCAAAAGAGTTTATGCATGGTTCTCTTCAGGTTCCCTTGAGTGGTCTTTGGTTTCTCCCAGTATCTGTGTTTGTAGTCTGAACTTCTGGGAGTGAGGTGTTCTTTGGTCGAGCCATAGGTTGGTCACTCGAGCGGTATTCTATGTCTGAAGCTCAAGTGGTCTTTCTTTCGGTCGAGTAGTATCTTTGCAGGTCTGAACTACTAGGAAGGGGTCATTGCACGTTCGAGCCATGATTGGGTTGCTCTACTGGTTCTTTGTGTCTAACACTCAAGCAATGTTTTGATCACTCGAGCAGTCTATGCGTATATTAGCACGGGAAAAAGGTTTTTTCTTTCATTTTTTGATCTTTTTCTCTCTCTAAAAGGTAACTTTACTAAATTTCGTCACTCTCTCTCTCTGGTTCTTGTCTAAACACCCTTATACACTTAAATCCATGGTCTCATTGTCGTTGTGCTTTAGAAAAAAGTGTAGAGCTCGTAGAGATGAACATTCTAATCAAAAAAGTTTTCATTTTCGGCTCCATCAAACTTTGGGTCTTGTTCTTCTCTCCTTCTAATCTTGAGGTAGGGATTTTTTTCAACCTCTTTGTATGATTCTTAGCCTTGTTATGTGTTCCTTGAAAAGTGTACTGATTTGGAAGTTGTGGGTTTTGATTTAGGGCTTTATTTGGGTTTGATTTTGGGAGTATAAAAAAGGGTTGTCAGGTGTTTCATGAGAAATGTTGTGGAGATCATTATATTATTAAGTTAGGTTGAAATCTTGAAAATCTCTTCTTTATATGTGTTTTGAAAAAAATAGATGTTTTATTGGAAATCATTGGTTTTGAACTAAGGAAAAAGGGTAAAGATGTTGACTTTTTGGAAATAATAATATGAATATACCTGTTGATGAAGAGAGTGGAGTTGAATATGCATTATCACTCCTATATTGAGATTATGAACGTATACCTATTGTTTATAGATTTATCTTTTGTATAGAGATATCTGCTTTGGGCTATCGGTGGAGGATAACTTTGTTTATTGTAGAAATTGCATGAGGATTAGGTTAATTGAAACCAATTACTCATATTTCTTGCATTGAACATTGTTTCATATTTATACATTGAAAATGTATCGTTTTGAGAAAAATTGGTGAATACCTTGGCGAATCTGGTTAGGGAGTGTGGTTGTGGTATTATCTATGTTGGCCTGTGTGTAACACCCCAAAAAGTAACAATAATCCAACTCATAACATTTCTTATAAATGATCAACAACATGATATCTTCTATTCCATGCATAACTTTGATCAATACAAAAGATAACATGTGCAACGTACATTCATAAACCCTAGACTTTATAGCATATGGCATAGATACATGAAATAAAATAAAAGTAAAACCAAATAATTATATATCCTAATGGCTACAACTTTTCAAGTCGATGCTTGGGTACAACAAAGTGAGTTTAACTCTCTATAGGTAAAGCCCGAGACTTAAACAAAAATAATTACATCAATAAACAAAATAAAACCTTTAGCTCTAAGTCCTCCCAAGCTACATCATTGGTAGAGGCATATTGATGTAGGCCGAAAGGTACCACATTGAGGTCGCTTAAGTTACATTTATAGTCTTTTAATATTTTTTATTTGGTGGAGATAATGTGTTTTGGGCACTTGTACAGATTTGGCAAGAAATACGCAAATTCAATAAAAAAAAGGGTGTGAAAGTAGATTCTCCGTGTCAGAAGTGAAAAATCCAAGCCAGCCACCTCACCGCACGTACGGCCCACTAGCGTGCGAGCGCCCATGCCACCGCTCAAGCAGCCCACATGGACGCTCGAGCGGCCCACCTAGGGATGCATGCGCATAATTTTGGGTTTGTTCTGTTAAGAATAAAATGAAGAAAAATAGGCTAACCTAGGGTTCGAAAATATTCTAAGGAAAAGAAAAGGAAGGCTAGGGTTTGGAGAGAAATAACTTAAAACTTGAATAAAGTCTCCCATGGTGGCTTCTTCTCCCTTTACCTCTTCCCACTCCTCTGTGAGTGGCTAGGCTCCTCTTTCTAGGGTTTTGATGAAACCCTAGCCATGTAATTGGGTTTTCTCTTTGCTTTTTTTCATTATGTAAAGGTTTTGAACAAATTGTATGGTGTTTAAGAAGTTTCATATATATATTTTTCATTATCCCTTTAAGTATTCTACTTTCTATGATTGTTGAATGCTTTCCTTACAATAGTTTTCTCTATTTTCATATTCAAGATATAGGATAAGCCATACTATGAGGGATGAACCATTTTGCTACCGTAGTTTACAGCGAACGATTCATACCATTTGAGATAGTTCGTGCCTATACATTGAACATGATAATTTCCTTGATCAATGCTTTGAACTTGTAGTTACGAACTATTATTTCGTTCGAATCGGAACGTAATTGACTTTCAAATTGAAACCTTATTTACGTAACTAGTGGTGGATTCATTATCCTCGATTTTCCCCAAATTAGTACTTTATCCTTACTTTTAATTAATTGTTTAATCGCTTTGTTTAATTTAGTTCTCATTAGATTATGAACCAGTCATCTTTTAATCAAAATTAATTTAGGAATTTAACCATTAAATTAGTCTAATTCCCGTTTGTCCCTACGAATCGATACCTAGACTTACCATTATTCTAAGGAATTTGGCATAGTTTAGTGTTTATTTTTAGTGTGTGAAACGATGCATCAAATTTTGGCACCGTTACCGGGGACTTCTTGTGAAATTGAGTAATTTAAAGTTACATTCCCATTTTATTTTTTAGTTTAGGATTTTATATTTTAGTGTTGCTAAGTGTGCAGCGTGTTTGCAAGTGGAGCTATCACCGAAGTGCAAGCAGAGTGCAACCAAGCTTTAAAAACAAACCACTGCGCTAAAGTCCTTTAAAAAAAATAAAAAAATAATAAATAATAAAAATAAAAAAGCAAATACTCGCAAGCAAAGCACCAAAGTGCTAAAACTAGAAAGCTCAAGTGGAAATTAGGGATAATGTCTACACGTCAAACACCCGCAAGACGAGTAAAGCATTTTCATTAAATCTCTGTGAGTATTTCTCTCTTTGGTATTTTGCTTTCATAACTTAGTGCATAGAGTTGGAACTCAGAGTGTATATGTGAGTAGTGTATGCACGGTCGTTGTTCTTGTCGGTCTGAATTGTGGAGTATGGACCTTAAACTAGAAAAAACTCTTAGGAAACTTAGAGCTCTTCTCGTGTTCCTAGGCTTGAATATCCATACCCATACTTCAAACCAATAGAGATGGTGAACCCTAATGGTCTAAATGGGCCCAACTGGACCCTTAACGATTACTTCACACCCACTGCATATGCATCACCATCATGCATTCAGTTACCCGACACCACCGCTGCTCATTATGAGATTAAGTCCAGTACCAACCAAATGCTCCCATCATTCCATGGACTAGCTCATGATGACCCTTATAAGCATCTGCATGAATTTCTAGAAATTTTCTCTATAGTGAGGATCTAGAATTTCACCAATGAGGCCTTAATGTTGCAACTATTCCCATTTCCGCTGAAGGACAAAGCCAAACATTGGCTGAACTCCTTACCTGCTAATTCTGTCACAACATGGGACCAATTACAACAGAAGTTTTTAGAGAAGTACTTTTCCATTGGTAAGATAAACCAACTCAGGCGAGCCATCACCAATTTTGCTTAAATTGATGGCGAGCAATTTATAAGACATGGGAGAGACTTCGTGACCTTCTCCAACAGTGTCCCCTCTACCAAGTGCCTGATTGACAACTTGTTTAAACCTTTTACTATGGTTTAACTGAGCCTCACTGCCAGATGGTGGATTCTTCTTGTGGTGGGACATTTATGTCCAAAAATGATGCCGAGGCATGGCAATTATTTGAGAACTTAAGTGATAATTCCCTTCACCATGCCTCCGCAGCCCAGCAAGTCTGGGAACCGGTAGTTGGAGCCCCGAAAGGAGAGAGGGCATTTATGAGATAAAGCAAAACCTAGAGTTAGCCCAATAGGTAGAGGCAATGTCCCACAAGATAGACCAATTATTAGCTTCGAAACATGTCCCTACATGACAAGATCAACCTCAATTTCATGAGGCATGTGCTATTTGTGCAAGCCCTACTCATGACTTGAGTGAGTGGCCTTCGGCATCACAATTTTTGGAATTAATCTAAGAGCATGTGAATGCAGCTCAAAGATTATCCAACTCCGGTAATGACCTATATTCCAACACATATAATCCGGGATAGAGAAATCACCCTAATTTTTCATGGAGACCTCCTTCACAAGGCACTTCTTACAATCCTCCACCACCAAGGCAGAATTTTAATAATTTTGCCAACCAATCTTCTTACTGACCACCACAACCTTACTGGCAACCACAACCCCTACCTTCCTCAAGAAAACTCAGCCTTTAAGACTCATGTGTTGGAAGTTCTCTCAGAACTTAAGGGGTTAGCACCAATAGTTTACTCCCATACTCATTCCATTGCCAAGCTAGAGGCCTCATTGGGTCAAATGGCTAATAACATGAATATGAGAGAGGAAGCAAAATTACTGAGTCAGACTGTGGCCAACCCTAAAGGTCAATATGGAGCAAAGAAGTCGGGTGGGAATGGAAAGCACCATGAACAGGTGCAAGCAGTGATTACCGTCAAAAGTGGGAGGGAGTTAAAGCCTCGGCCAGTTGCGTCTAATGTAACTAAGGCTAAGAAGGGTGATCACGATGGTCAACCCAAAGAGAGCAAGTTGTGAGGAAGAGACACCTAAGGAGGATGACTTAGTCTCTAGCACTTCACATGAGCCTAAGGCACCCTTTCCCCAACGCCTTTATACACAATCTCCTTTTAATAAAAAGGCAGCATCCATGGAAGCGATGATAGAGGTCTTTAAACAAGTGAAAATCAACCTCCCCCAATTGGAGGCGATTAAGAAAGTACCCTCCTATGCTAAATTTTTTAAGGAGCTTTGCACGTAAAAGCGTAAATCTTGGACACACGTGTCCCAAAAGGTCGTACTTATGGAGCAAGTATGCTCCATTTTATTGAGTGACACACCCTTAAGCTTAAAGACCCAGGTGTCCTAACCATTTCATGCATTATAGGGGATTATTTCATTGATAGAGCCTTGTTAGATTTAGGAGCTAGTGTCAATTTGTTGTTGTACTCTGTGTACGAGGAATTCGGGCTTGACGAGTTAAAGCCCACTATTATTATTCTCCAATTGGCTGACCGGTCCCTCAAAGTGCCACGTGGCATGATTGAGGATGTGCTAGTAAAGGTCGATAGGTTTTATTTGCCTGTTGACTTTTTGGTTTTAGATATGGAACCAGTAGCCAGCTCTAGGAAACAAATCCTGGTGATCTTAGGTCGTCTTTTCTTGGCTACGGCCAATGTATGCATAAATTGTCGTACCGGGGTTATGGATGTTTCATTTGAAAATATGCAAGTGAAACTCAATATTTTCCAAGCATCCCAACAACCCCATAAAAGAGAGGTGTTTATTTGTGGATGTTGTGGATGAGATTGTGGAGGAGGCTTTACCCTCCATTCTTATAGAGGACCCTTCAGAGGCTTGTTTAGCTCATTTTGGGTTTGCAAATTCTGATATTGACGGATTAATTGAAGAGGTGAATGCCTTAATTCTTATTTTACACTGGATTTTCCTCCGTGGAAAGCCCGGTTTAAGTCTCTTCTTCCTCTGTCTAGAAAGCCTTCCATACCATCCCTAGTCACACTACCTACACTTGAGTTGAAGCCACTCCCAGCCACACTCAAGTATGCACTTTTAGGGCCAAAAGATACTTTACCTGTCATCATTGCATCTAACTTCACTACAGAGCAAGAAAGTCAATTAATAAGTGTTCTTGTGGCACATCGGAGTGCTATAGGGTGGTCGATGGCTGATTTGAGAAGGATAGATCCCTCCGTGTGCATGCATTATATACATCTAGAGGAGGACACCAAACCTTCTCGTGAAATACAACGGAGGCTTAATCCCAATATAAAAAAGGTGTTGAAAAATGACGTGTTAAAATTGTCGGATGCGGGTATTATATACCCCATCTCAAATAGCAAGTGGGTGAGTCCCACACAAGTGGTGCCAAAGAAATCGATCATCACTGTTGTTAAGAATGAGAGAGAAGAGTTAGTCCCTGCACAAACCACTACTGGGTGGCGAGTGTGCATTGATTATAGGAGATTGAATTCCATGACTAGAAAGGATCATTTTCGCTTACCTTTTATTGAACAGATCCTAGAGCGGTTAGCAGCGCAAAGCTACTATTGTTTCCTTGATGGCTGTTCTAGTTACAATCAAGTTCCTATGTGTTCGGATGATCAGGCAAAGACCGCCTTCACATGTCCTTTTGGCACTTTTGCCTATCACCGAATGCCCTTTAGGCTTTGCAATGCACTAGCGACCTTTCAACGGTGTATGATGGCTATCTTCTTTGACATGGTGGAGAAATTCTTAGAGGTCTTCATGGATGACTTCTCTGTATTTGAGCCATCTTTTGAGGAATGTCTCTAGAACTTAACTAAAGTCCTTATTCGTTGTGTGGAGACAAACCTGATTTTGAGTTGGGAGAAGAGCCATTTTTTGGTTCATAAGGGTATAGTGTTGGGACACATTGTGTCCCTTCAAGGCATAGAGGTAGACAAAGTTAAGGTTAACCTCATTGCAGGCCTTCTTCCACCCACTTCTATGGATCAAGTTCGATCTTTCTTACAGCATGCAGGTTTTTACCATAGGTTCATCAAAGACTTTTGTAAAATATTTTATCCTTTGGGTAATTTACTTGCTAAGAACGCACCTTTTATCTTTGATGAGGCATGTTTGACGGCCTTTGAAACACTGAGAGAGGCCTTTATTACCGCCCCAATTATAAAATCACCGGATTAGTCACTTCCCTTTGAGATCATGTGTGATACATCTGATTATGCCCTCGGCGCCATCTTGGGCCAAAGGTTGAATAAAGTGCCCCTTGCTATATCCTATGCTAGTCGTACTCTTTCTGATGCTCAATTAAACTATACTACTACTGAGAAAGAGTTACTAGCTATTATGTTTGAACTTGATAAGTTTCGGTCCTATCTCCTAGGGTCTAAAGTCATTGTGTTCACTGATCATGCTGCTTTGTGGTACTTATTGTCCAAAAAAGAGACCAAACCTAGGTTAATTAGGTGAATTCTACTCCTTCAGGAGTTTGACCTAGAAATTCAGGACAAGAAGGGATCTGAGAATGTAGTTGCGGATCATCTCTCCTGAATCTTTAATGAGCACAGGAGTGATCCTTTAGCCTTATAGGACTCGTTTCCTGACGAGCAACTTCTTGCGGTATCACACGTGACCCTTCCGTGGTTTGCTCACATAGTGAATTACTTGGCAGTTGGTTAAATTCTGAAAACTTGGTCTACACAAGACAAAGATCGATTTTTCTCACAAGTCAAGCATTATTTCTGAGAAGACACAGAATTGTTCGAGTATTGTCCGGATCAAGTGATTTGGCGTTGTGTGCCTGAGAGTAAAACCCATAACATTCTCACCTTTTGTCACTCTCATGCATGTGGTGGCCATTTCAGTGGGCAGAAAATGGCCGCAAAGGTTTTACAATGTGGGTTCTACTGGCCCTCTGTCCTCAAAGATGCCCATAACTTTTGTAGAGGTTGTGAGCGTTGTCAACGCATGGGCTCTATGTCACGACGAGATATAATGCCAATGACCCTTATTTTGATTGTTGAGATTTTTGATGTTTGAGGCATCGACCTTATGGGTCCCTTTCCATCATCTTTTGGATTTGAATACATTTTGGTAGCTGTGAACTATGTCTCTAAGTGGGTTGAGGCAGTGGCCACCAAAACGAATGACCACAAAGTTGTGGTTAAATTCCTTCATGAAACCATTTTTTGTCATTTTGGGTTCGCACTTGCCATAATTAGTGACGATGGCAAACATTTTGCAATCGATTCTTCAAGGCATTAGTGCGCAAGTACATGATCACTCACAAAGTTGGCACTCCCTATCATCCCCAGACTAGTGGTCAAGTAGAGGTTTCTAATAGGGAGATTAAGCACATCCTCGAGAAAACTGTGAGGCCCAATAGGAAAGATTGGTCCACTAGGTTGGTTGATGTACGTTGGGCCTATTGCACTGCATATAAGACACCCATCAGGATGTCTCCATATAGGATTGTGTTCGGGAAACCATGTCATCTCCATGTTGAGTTAGAACACCGAGTTTTGTGGGCCATTAAGAAGTTCAATTTTGATATGGCTAAAGTTGGTGACCATCGAAAACTCCAACTTAATGAGTTAGAGGAGCTCAACAATGATGCATATGAGAGCTCCAAAATTTACAAGGCTAGGACTAAGGCATTTCATGATAAACACATTTTTCGTAAGTTCTTCAAGCCTCACCAAAAAGTGTGGTTGTTTAATGCTAAATTCCGGTTGTCCCAGGGTAAACTCCAATCTCGATGGGATGGCCCATATGAGGTTATTGAAGTCTTTCCAAGTAGGGAGGTTAAGATTAAAAATCTACAAGATGGTACGACCTTCAAGGTCAATGGTAAAAGATTGAAACATTTTGTGGTTGGTATTGAAAAAGGGGAGATGATTAAGGTTGTTCATTTGACGGACCCAATATATCATTCATAGTAATTGCTTTGAGTCTAGGAGACTTTAAATCCTCTAATGGTGTAATTTCTTTAGTGTCTGCCATGCCCAAACGGCATCTAACAGTCTGGTATAGCCACCTAACTGTGTTTGTAGTGAGTTCCTAAGAGACCAACTTAGACGGTGGAAAGTAGAGTTCAAATGGCAAAGCCTAGAATACAACGACTTAGGATTTTCGAGATTAAAGTCTGGTTTAAATACCCAGGGGTATGAAGGTTGCCTCAAAACCACCTCGGCTTGAACTCTATATGGCAGCCTATAGGTCAAGTTAGCTTTATGCGCCTCAATTCTGAATACTGAATCAACCTAGTCTATCGCCCTATTGGAGAATAGAGAAAGTTACAAACATTGTTAGGGAGAAAAGTAGTACCCGTAGTATTTCTGTATGGATTATACCTTTATTAAGCACTTTGTTATTTTCAAAGTGCCATATTTATTTCGAATGTGCAATGAAGGCAGAAATGGTTGTACTTGTTTTGGGTTGTATTTGAAAAAAAAAAAAAGAAAAAAAAAAAAGAGCAACAGACCGCATGGGCGCTCGAACAGAAGTCCCATTTAGGGTGCATGAGCGGAAAGGCAAGGCCACATGAGCAGCCCAAGCCCAAGAGCACACTGCACAACCACTGCTAGAGAGGCCTAATTCTACCGCTAGAGCGGCCCAAAAATAAGCGCTTGTGTGGCCCAAAATGGGCACACGAGTGGTCTAAAACAAACAAACAAACAAACAAAAAAAAGGGAGCGCACGAGCAAAAGCCCATACTGCACAAGCTGCCCAGGCCCAAATGGCTACTGCTCCAACGCTGCTGGAGCGACCCAATTTCGCCACACAAGCGGCTCATAATTCAATGCTTGTGCAGCCCAAACTAGCGCACGAGCGGCCCATTAAAAAAAAAACTGTAGCTTTTATTTGTTATTTATTTATTTCTATAAACTTTTTTTTATTATTTTATTTATTTCTTCAAAAAAAATATTCGTGTAGTTTATTTACTTTTTGTTTACTTATTTATTTTTCCTTATTTTATTTCTCTTTAAAAAAAAGAAAAAAAAAAAGAGAAACCTGCAGATTTTATTTTTTATCTATTTACTTATTATTTTTTTTTCCTTCAAAAAAAAATTAAGAAAACCCTAGACCCACTTGTTGTCAATCACTTTCCCAACTACACTCTCTCTCTCTACCTCTTGCCTTCTTCTTCTTCTTCTTCTTCTTCTTCTTCTTCTCTCTCTCTCTCTCTCTCTCTCTCTCTCTCTCTCTCTCTCAACCCCATAAACTCACAAACTCATCAAAGAGTTCTGATTGTAAGTATATCTCTTTCCATTTTGTATTTAATGTATGCCTATTGATAGACTTGTTGAATTAAATGCTTTATTAGAGTTTTATAAATCTTGTTATAATTATTGGTTAGCTGTTGATAATTGACATTTATAGACTGTAAGGTTAATCCATTTATAGAATTTTATTACTCTGATAGAGTGTACAGAAAGACTAATACAGGAGCAAATTTGCCTGTTGGCTGCGGCCATCTTCAACCGGTGACTTTTCAGCGGCTTCCTCCAATTTTTACTCACCCTGTTCCTCACCACCACGTTCCCACCGGAGCATCACCATCTTCTTCAACCGGTGACTTTTCAGCGGCCATTTTTTTCCAGCGGATCTCCCTTCTTTCTCTCTTTCTTTACTCTTTCAAGGTAAATCCTTCTTTTTGTTCAAGATTTGTGTTGTTGTTCTTCCAATCTTAAATTTTAGTTTAATTGATTTTAGTTTTTCTTTTTTTTGTCCCTATTTTGTTCATTGTTCATCTTAATAAATAAATAAATGATGAAGAAAAGTGAATCTGGGGAGCACCAGCTGCACATGCGGCCCTCATCGATGCATGTGCAGCGCGTCGGAGTTTTTTTTTAAAAAATATTAAAAAAAAAACAACAACAACAATTCAGGGCAAGCCACCATCTGCACATGCGACACCTGTTGGCACACGTGCAGCAATTGAAAAAAAAAATTGTAATAATACTAATAATAATCATATAGCTTGTGGTTGTCTATTTTGTTAATGTAGTTGTTTGGTTTAGTGATTTCTTTTTCTTTTTAGTTGGTTAGTAGTTTAGTTGTTATTTTTGTTTTTATATTCTGTTTTTATTTTATTTTATTTTCTTCTACTAACTCATTCATTTATTTCTTTTTATTTATTTATTTATTTATTTATTTATTTATTTATTTATTTTTCTTTCTTATTTCCTGTAATGCATTACTTTACTTCATTTGATGTAACTCACTTGTCTTATGCTAACTTAGTCTAAGCTAATTTAGGGAAGGATAATAATAAAAAATAATTAAATAAATAATAACAAAATAAAAAATTTGAAATAAAAGAAATCTGATGGTGTGATGGCAATGAGGATTTGAATGATTCGTGCATGTATATGATGTTTATTAGTACTAATATAATGGTTCCTCATTTTTAGTTGTGTTGGTTGTATTATTTTGTGCAAATATGTCTACATCATCCCGCCGAGCACCCAATTGGCCACGCAATGCTAACATCGTCGCTAGGGATGTACCAACTAACATCTGGGCCACTAAACAAATTGTCTCCGACACACCATTTGATTTGGACTTCTTTCAACGCCATCAACCACTGCTTGGAGTGTCCAACAACTTGAAGACCGGGACCTCCTGGGCATCTGCACCGTCACTAAACCAGCGTATCCTCGTATTGTGCGAGTGTCTTATCAGAACATGTACACTTGTGACAAGGCCCCGAGAGCTCTTTTGTCCATTATTGACGGGTGGAGTTAGTGGTCACACCAACTTCCATTGCCGAGGTTCTCCACTGTTCCATGGACACTATCAATGAAGAGCAGTTCTCGGTGTTCACTCAGGAACTCACAACCCTAGCACTGGTGACTGAATTTTATGAAGGGCGGCAGGATGATGACAACCGAACTAGCAACCAACAGGCTAACTTACCGCGCCGCCTCCTCTTCCTCAATGTGGTTCTAAAACAGAATGTCATCTCACTAGGCCACAAGGAAGAGCAACGAGGGGACTTCCTCCGTGCCTTGCACCGATTTGACTTTGGGTTTTGGGTCGACATCCCTATTTTGATCTTCAACTAGATGTTCCGTATCCTTAACAAAGTCAAGTTGCGCAACACCCAAGGCAGTTCTACATAGGCCCTTCCTTTCGCCAACCTCATCACTGCACTCATAAAAGGTTAAGAGACATACCCACTCGAACCTAATAAGATTCAGCTTTCGCCGCCAACGCTTTACGGTAAAACCCAATGGTGCCAAACCACTGCTCGTCTGCCGCCTCCATTACTCCTCTTTGATGCCTCGGCCAATCCTAATGATATTTCGGTAGAGCTTACCGCCGCTCCAACGCCACTGCCATTCCTTATGACAAGGGCATAATATCAGGCTCTTTTGGATAATCAAGCTGTTATTTAGCAATCTTTGGTTAATCTTCAGGCCGACTATCAGGCATATCGGGATTACTCACAGACGGCATTTGATGGGTATCAGCAGTCAGTTGCATAACTGACTTCTACGCATGCTGGGAGTCGAGCCAGCAACAGTTTGACCAACTTGGCACTAGGGTTCATGATGAGGCATTCGAGACTCGGACGCTGATGCATACCCTATTTGAGCAACATTTTCCCCCACCGCCGGATCCAAATCAATGATATCCATTCTATTTTCTTTGTTTTATTTCTTTAGTTTTTCTATTTTGTTTTGTTTTGTTTTATTTTTCTTTTCCTTTTATATTGTATAATCAAAAAAAAAGTATGTGTGTGTGTGTGTTTGGTTCGTCCCTACCTCGTTGGATGTGCGCTATGCCGTCTGGTAAGATCCTCTCTTTCTCATTTTACTATCTACTTCCCCATTGCTTACATTGGGGACAATGTTGCCTACTAATTGGGGGGTGAGGGTATTTATAAAAACAATTCATGTTTGTACTTGTTGCACTTGATTGCACCATTTCACTTGATGTTCACTTTGTGCCAGTATGGTAGTGATATAAGCATATGTTAATTGGGGAACATAGTGGACTTATATGAAAAGGGTTTATTGGGTAAATACTCGCATGTGATATTTGCACTAGAAGAGTTGTTTGTGTTTGTTGTATTAGTACACTTGTCATGGCTATGCCTTGATTCACATGAACACACTTTCAAAGTGGTGACCTCTCTATTCTAATCCCTAGTATACATCATTGACAATTGCTAGTGTTGCAGAAAAAAATAAATGAGTAGCCTTGATTCTCATCAAAAAAAGAAAAAAGAAAAAAAAACTTGACTTGTTTTGGTTTGTAACCTCTTTAACTCGAGTTATTAAGCCCATATAGGTGTCTCTACACCCTAGTGCCCCAAAACCATCTGGTTTGGAAGTCATTGGCCCAATACTTGCTACATGGGTTAATTAGAAAGCTTAAGGGACCTAGACATTGCACAGTTAAGAAAATAAATAAAAAAATAAAAATAAAATAAAGACTTGTTCAGGTTTGTATCCTTTTCAACTTGAGTTATTAAGCCCGTATGGGTGTCTTCACACCTAGTGCCTTAAAACCTTCTAGTTTGGGAGTCATTGGCCCAATGCTTGTCACATGGGTTGATTAGAAAGCTTAATGGATCAGAACATTGCACAGTCTTTCAAAAAAAATGACAAGAATCTTGGTTGCAAAAGTTTAGTTTTTCTGTATATGTTGGGTATTACTGTGAGTTACACTGGGCTATTATAGTGGACAGTTAACTAGTTATGGGGAATGCACTTTACACCAAGGGCACTGATGATGTGTTTACTAGCATTCACAAGTACAAGGACTTAACTTTTGTATTAACTGAATTGTGGTTTTTGCTTAATAGATACCTTCATGCTTGTCCGCTGTGCCTTCAATGACTCATCATATCTTAATATCACACTATAATGGCACATAAGCTGATTGTTAGGTGGATTAGTGTGGTTAATTGTTGTTGAGTAGATAT